TGAACACGATCACACACATATATATTGAGAGAGGGAAGAGAGAGAGAGAGAGAGAGACTGTGTGTGGTGTGTTTGTAAACATATGTATGTGTGTATATTATATATATATATATATATATATATATATATATATATATACGCACGCACGCACGCACACACACACACACACACACACACACACACACACACACACACACACACACACACACACACACACACACACATATATATATATATATATATATATATATATATATATATATATATATATATATATATATATATGTATATATATATAATTTATTGCACACATACAGGCACTCATTGTGTGCATATACACATACTTAAGAGCAGGATCAAAAAGATAACATACATAGAACTGAACCAGATAGAATTACGACCATTTCTAGCTCTTGCAACATAGTATAATGTCCGTATGCAACACAATAGAAAGAGTAGCGAATGTTGACGTTCCTTCCCCAATAAGCGGAGTTGGGGACATCTCACGCGCCGCAGATCTGGCTTGGTTGCGCCGAAGGAAAGATTTTGCTGAGTCACGCCGTCGGCACCACGTGACTCGTGAGCTGTTGCCTTCTCGCCGAGTCACGTGCGGTCGGAGAGGAGTTTGTGTAGCTGTGGTTGGTGGTGGGGGGGGGGGTGTTTGTGCTTGTGCTTGTTTGAACGTGTGGTCGGTTATTGTGTGTGTGTGTGTGTGTGTGTGTGTGTGTGTGTGTGTGTGTGTGTGTGTGTGTGTGCGTGTGTATGTCGTGTGTGTGTGTGTGTGTGTGTGTGTGTGTGTGTGTGTGTGTGTGTGTGTGTGTGTGTGTGTGTGTGTGCGTGAGCATGTTATTAGATTGGATATTTTTCATCATAGCGATTAGTACTCGATGCTGTAGTTAGAATTTGCAGTTGATTAGACATAACATTTTGCTTTGTTCCATAATATCTATTATATCACTAACATCATAAAAAGCCATTTTCTTTGACAGTATTCTTAAGGAATTGTATCAAACCAATATCATGCTCTCTTCTAAATGCTTGCTCTCGTAATACAGCACGCACGCCCATGACAGCGCTTTCCTTCGTGCCCTAATCGTCACCTTTCGATGTTTTCCTTTTTATTTTCCTCATTTGTTACGTACCACTTCGTCGTTCTTGAAAATAGAAATTAAAAAGATCTATGACTAGTGAAGAAAGTTTGGAGATTCTGAAGAATGTAAATATGGCAATATTTTTTTCCATAAGCATGACAGTTTTGTTCTAATGTGTAAAAACACATTTACATAACAAGCTTATATTTACGGTCCTTTATTCACTCTATTCAGTTTTGTTTAATAATATAAAATAAGTAATTACAACGCGAATAAAATACTAAAACGAGACTTTACAAAGTTTATCAGTTAAAAGCTAGTCCTGTGTCCTGACGTTTGACCTTAAAGATGAAAAGCTGAAACGGTTTCGCGCCAGACCATTCGGTCCCCAGTGACTTCGTTGAGCAAAGTCCTATCACACGGGACAGAAAATCCTTGACATAGGCTTCTCGGTTTCGCAAAGAACCCTTATTTGGCATACACGATACTTCGAAATTCGGTTTGTTAAAGATGAAATACATAAAATGGTTTTTTTTTATTGGAAAAACAAATATTTTACGTATCGAATTGTTACGTAATTGCAAAATGATAACCATGAATGAAGAATGTCAATTTTGCGTTAGTTTGTTTACATTCGGACGTGGGCGCGAGTCGGCGAGCCTCAACAGCGCGGCGGGTGTGCAAGGATGGGTTAATGGTCAGTTACGTTTCCAGAATATCTATATCTTTCTTTCAACCGTAATTTTCTAATATATGGGTTGTGATTATTTAAGAAGCATGTGCATAAAAAAGGAAAAGTATTTATACAAACCCTACACAAATAGATAGATAGGTAGATATGTATATATATAAATACACATGTATACATGGAAATCAATATATCTATATAATCAATTTGTTATGAATTTTCAGAATGCAAAACCTGTACTTTGTAGTATAATCATAGTAATGACTGCTGGTTGAGGAGGGCGATACAGAAACGTTAAAATTAGTAAAGTAGTTTATTATTTTTTATGGCTACTGTGTGGAGAAACAAAACACGTAAACGGGTGTATAAGCCAAAGGAATCACAACCTGATAGCTTATTGCATTCCTCTCCCCACCAGCACACCTTGGGCACGGCCTTAGTGAGTACCCATCAAGGAAAAGGTCGTGGCATTTTTATTCGTGTTACAGCTGATTAACCGTAGAATGACCGTAAAATTTCACAATCATGTTCTGTAGATTGCGGCTGAAATAACTGCAATGTTGAGACGAGAGAGAGGCGCGAGTTCGCCCAAGAAGAATAACTGTACCGGAGTAACAGGGTTGCCGTTTCCGCAACAGCCGGAGCGGGGGCCGAAGGGGAGGGGGAGGAGGGGTGTAGGGTGAGTGGAAGAGGGGCTGGAATTGGTTGGGAGGAGAGTTAGGGGAGGGAGTGGAATGGGGTGGGAGGGGGTGTAGAGGGAGGGTGGAATAGGGTGAGAAGAGGAGGAGGGATAGGGGGAGGAGGATGGAGAGGGTGGGGGAGGGGTGAATGGGGTAGGAGGGGGAGTAGGGAAGTGAGGAGGTGGAGAGGGATGGTGTATGGGTGAGAGTGCAAGAAAATAAAAACAGAGGGAGCGGAGGGGGGGGGGAGCTGGTTATGAGTAGGAGGGAGGGAGGAGAGGGTGGTTAGGGTAGGAGGGAGGAGGGAGGGGGAGTAAGGAGGGAGTTGGGGTCAAACCATTTTTCAGAGAGCAGATCCAAGTCATTTGAGTAATGTTATGATCCTGACTTGCGTTACTGAGATGCGGAGTAAGCATGTGACGTTGGGCCTGTGTCTGTGTCTCCCTCACTGCATATGTGCACGTATGTCTGTATCACGTGCCTGTTTGTGTTTGCGTCTGGCTAGCAGAACCGAAATAAAATATAAATCTTGAGTAGTTTAAATCTTGAGTAGTTTTAACTCTCAGGATATCCCGCTAAAGTAATAGAAAATCATAGCACTATCATACCCGGTTAAGAACACAAGAACAGTATCATGCAGTAGCTTACTAAAGTGTTCAGCAAATAAAACAAAGAAATAGTCAGTGACCAGACAAGAAATAAACAAGCCTATCAAACACATGCGGGTAAATAAAATGGACAAGCAGACGCTGTCACGCCACTTACCACCACTTTTTTTATCTCTGAACAACGTCCAATAAAAAAAAGGTACAGATTAACTGTGGAAAAGTTCATGAACAGTTAATGATGACTTTCGGTTTGAGTACAATAAGAATTTTTCTTGTCCGAGATTCCGTAGGCGCGCTTCTTATCTTCTTATAAACCTTATTTTGAACTAAAGAAAAATCATGAAAAATGAAAGATAATTCCTGATGACTGATTTTAGACTGATTTAAGACACGCGACTCGTACAACTCTTGGAAATATTATAGTAGATTTTCTCAGAAATACAGTTAAACAAATCTATCACAGCTATGGATAACGTTAAAAATTCAGGAAATGCATAATACACGTCAGAATGAAATTTCGTGAGTGGTAATAAACTATCACTTAAGACAATTCTTAAGCTGAGCAAACTGAACTGAAGCATATATATTTAAGAATGTGGTTCACTTATCTTCCACTAAACATAATCGAAATTGAATAATATTTTCACTTTGATAAATAACCGAAGAATACCCTATATCAAATAGCTCTGAATCACGTGCTGACAGTTGGAATTAGTAAAATACAAAGCATTAAATAAGCGAATATCAGTGGTTGATGAATATCCAGAATTCTAAACTTGATGGATAAACTTCCATGCTCGTCTTGGCAAACTTTATCACACCGGTACTATTGTGCAGACGCATCAGAATGACTTTCGTTTTAATTCCATCTGGTAGCTTAGCATCACCCCACGTAACCGTTAGGGCGGTAATAATACATATAAAATCTTCTCCTATGAACTGGTAGCTTAGCATCACCGTAAATAACCACCAGAACGCCAATAATGCTTATGTTCTATTATATGACCTACTATACAGTGCATAATACAGCTTGTTATAACATAGAGTCGACTTGGGTTAGGTTCAGGAGAGGGAGCAAGACAAGCACTTTCTAGCGATACAATTGAAGTGTCCATGATTTATATCGATGATACCATATAATAAATATAATATCGTATTGTTACGTGATGATTTACGGTGATCTATGATAGTGGTACTCTATGCTAAGAACAGGCACGCCAAGCGGATCAGTAAAAGCGGATCAGTAACAGAGAGCTGAAAAGAATATCTACTGAATATGTCTGCAAAATGTTACTCTGTCACGGCGATGAGTATGAACCAGTATGCTTATGCGTGCATGACTGCGTGAATAATAGAAAAACTGAAACGTATTTGTGTGTATATTCGTGTGGACGCATGTGTGTAAGTGGCGTATGTGAGTGTAACTCTTTTGCGAAGTCATCTAGCACCTTTCTGAGGGAGAAAAGTGGATTACTTAACATTTGTACTTTTGTATCAGAATTCCAGCCGAGAGGCGAGTACTCAGGTCTTCCATTTCTTTCTTCTTAATACCAGAAAGAAAAAAACAATCTTATTCATGCGGCTCAACAGAAAGAAAAAAATGATAAGCGTTTATGTATCGTGATGAATAATCATGATAAATTGACCAAAGTTCGGAATCAGTTTCTGTCGTTGCAAAGATACAAATTAACTTTATTCATTATTGTAGTTACACGTCGGTAACTACCCGCTGTCTGGCAGAATTTTAGTTTGCCTAAAAACCGCTACGGGCCAGTGGCGCCTGCAGGCCGAGGTTTAGCGCACCTTCCCTTCGTGGAATCTAATTGTGTAGAAAAGTAGCAAAGGAACTTTAAGATGTAGATAACTGGCTAAATCCAATATGCAGGAACAGAGTGATATGTCCCTAAACCTATGCTCATTTGTGTCTTTGCAGGAGGGCAGCATGAAGCCAGCCGGAAGCGCGAGCGCCAGCATCTCTTCTTCGCCATGACGTCCCTTTTGGGTCGGAGGCGCGGGGGCCTCCTGTACCTCACCTGCTCTTGCCTGCTGCTGGCATTCTGCTTCTTCACGTCCGTCCTCAGGCCGAGCGGCCTCCGCCAATCCCGCAGCCTCGAGGTGTACCCGTGGCAGATGATTGGCTACGACGACTACGACTGCGGATGTCCCAGGTCCGGTCCGCCAATCGTGAGGGAGAGCGAGCAGTCGATGTGCAGTGATTGGTCGACGAGTCGAGGCCTGGGCCAAAAAGTGGTGTCGTATTCGCTGTTTGGCGACTTAAACAAAACGGTCATTTATAATAAATATTTTTCAGCGTTCGAAGATCGCCTGAAAGAAGTCGAAAAATATTACAAAGGTTAGCTGTGATACGGAATTTAAGACTACAATGTATTCTCATCGTGATATTGCTGTTCGTTGCGTCATTACTATCAGAAATGAAGCATGCTTTCGCAAATGATATTCATTAATATCAAAGATTTTTCACCGAAATTATTGAATTCACTGTTGTAGGATTCTCTATATATTAGCTATCGGTTCTTTGTTTCGGTATATGCTTAATATAAAGTTTCTAAAATCTCTCAGGTTGGACGGTTAGGTTGTACCACAACTTATCGCGGAGCGACGTTGCCTCGCAGAAGTACCTGTGCCGCCTGTACTGCCAGTACCACCACCTGGACCTCTGCCAGGTGGACAACCTCTTCCCGCCACAGGGCCAGAGTGCGGGCAATTCTGGACCCAGCAACGACTCTTCGGCGACGCTGAAGGGGGCAGCTGAGTCCCCTGGCACCATTGGGACGAGGGCGCTGGACCGCCTCAAGGCCGCCGCTTCCTCCGGTGCTCCTGGTCAGTCTAACTGCCGGATCCTTAGTTCTTGGTAACAGCTGCTTAACTATAATCTATTTACATTAGTGATTTATTACACTGGACCAAGTCTTTCGTAAGGAAAAGAAAAACGCGTCCAAATACTATTGCATATATCCCTCTCTACTGTATTCAATGTTATTACTCTCGTTACCTCAACGACATATGTAGAGTAAATGCTTGTGGATTTGGGCTTGATACTGGGCTGTATCTGCTTTTCCTAACATGATTAATATATCCACTTTCAAAACTAGGTACTCCACACGTTGGCATTTTGATAAACTTAGGTATCAGGATTTTTAAGTCAAATGTTTACGAGATCAAAGTCCGACTTCCCGTTTTCAAAACTAGACGTCCGGCATCCAACTGAATCACCCAGGCCAGGTCCCCAGTGAAATAATATTCAGGAAATAATATTCCCACCCCGCCGGGACACAACGAGACACATCTGCAAACGAAACAAAGGCCGGAAAGTGACCGCCACGTCCTCCTTTCCAGAGAGCTACGGGAAGAAGCTCGTGGGACGCATGTGGCGGTTCATCGCGATGGCGGATCCCCTCGTGTCGGAGTTCCTGGTGCGGGACACAGACTCCTCCGTGCTTCCCCGGGAGGTGGCCGCCGTCCAGCAGTGGCTCCACAACTCCACGGCTCTTCTGCACGTCATGCGCGATCACCCCAACCACAACGGTTTCATCCTTGCAGGTTAGGGGCGGAGGAAAGTGAGGGAGGAAACTAAGGGAGAGGGAGGGAGAGAGAGAGAGAAAGAAAGAATGCTAGAAAGAAAGGGGAAGAAAGAGAAAAAGAGAATGAG